ACTCTTTTCTATGAAATGAAAAAAGATTTCAAGTCAATAACATCATTAATAGTTGAGTTAATGACCAAAACATGATGATATAAAAATCTAAAAATCCTAGCCCACACAAAATATTTGATAGGTCGATATTTTTCTTATTACCACGTCAACGGAGAAATCGTAGTAAGCAGTTTTGTTTGTTTTTAGGTCCCCTAACATCCTGCATTTCAAGTGTCCATGTGTGAGAGCAAAAGTTGAAATTTGTTGTACGGTATATTTTGCGGAACAAAGGGTTGACCTTGCCAATTTTAATGAAAATAATGAGAGTGACTATTTTAATAATCTCTCTGGGTCTCGTATACGAGAATTCCAACGAGTTTATATTAAACGAGTCCATTTTAGAAGTTTATGACTGTCCTGGCGATGTATACATCATTACCACAAACAAACATTCACAAAAAAAAGTTTGAATCTTCATACAAATTTGATTATTTTTCACACAGTACAAATTCAAATTGATATATTTTTGAAATTCATGAATATTTATTGATGAAACCTCTGTGATTTACTATTGAAACGTTGTAGAAACTATGCACAAAATATCAAGAGTGCAGGTGTTTCCGAAGTATGTTAATGAGTCCACCAAAAATGGTCAATTTGTATGAAAAATACCTAGTGGTTCCAAACTTTTGCACGGTAGTGTATGTACAGACGACTAATTTTAAGTTCTTGATTTAAATTACTTGTTGTGAGAATTGCTGTAGTTGAAGAGGTGAACGTGTTGTAGGTGGTTGCAAAGGTCTTTGGTAAACCGGTTGATTTTGTTGTTGTAATTGCTCTATTGTTACGACTTGAGGAGAAGGATTGAATGGTTGCTGTTGTGAAGGAACATAAGCAGCTGGAATTCTGTAAGCCACGTTCTGTGGGAACAATGACGAATCTATTTGACCCGTTCGTGGATCGAATACTAGTTGGGTTTCATAAATGGGATTTTGAGTAACATTCGGCAATTCAATCCCTTGAGTTTGAGAGTTATACGTCTTCTGATTTGCTATTCGCGATGGTGTTGCTGTTGTTGTTGTAACAATATTATTTTCTTGTTGAAATTTTTGAAATTCTGCTGCAAAATCTACTGGTCTCCGAGTAGTGCCAAAATTTGTCGGTTTGTTCGAATCAACTTGGCTAGGTTTGGAAAATGTTATTTGAGCAGGTTTTTGTGTAAAGAACTGGATGGCGGGTCTGTATGTTGTTGCTGGTGGGTTGGTTTGAAGTGAATCACGGTAATTTGGTCGAGCTGTACTGCCTGCAAATTTTCCAGTTGTTTGTGTTTGTATTTGATACAATGTAGCTGGTGTTGTATTGACCGTTATTCTGGGTTTTTGTCTAATCGTGATTTCGTCTGGAACTGGAATGTGTTGTGGTCGAGCTGAAACCCTTGTCCGTTGAGGCTGCAACAGTTGGTTTTCTATAAACGAGAACAGTAAAAAAAATCATGTAGAAATTTTTGAAGAAATATGCGATTTAATAAGCTAGGTTTTACTGCAATCAATAAAATTTTAGTTCAATTGATCGGTTAGAAAGGGGCGCCGAACTAAGGTCGCTTGAATTAAAGTCTCCCATACAAATTTCTAGCGACTTTCCTTCATTTTGTTCCACGACCTTAATTCATTCGGCATTATGAACTAAAGTCGCGAGACCCAAATTCTTTTTTTGCAAAATGAAAATTTTCTTATCTTTTATGAACTAAGTTCTCCGCGACTGTAGTTCATTGACCCATTGGGTTTTAGTTTTTTTGTTTTAAAATCGCGCGACTTAATTCATAAATCAAATTGAATTAAAGTCGCCGGGATAAAATGTGCGCTTGCATTCGATCACACACTGGTACACAACAGGTAGACCCAAATCGAAATTCGTTCCAATCGAAGAGAGAGATCAACCGAATTTCGGCGTATAACGTTCTCTCTTTTACTGATATTGAGTTGTGACCACTGGCCGAACACATTCCAGAAGTTCCTGGGAAAAACGACACACTCTCGTTTTCAAGCACCAAGGAACAATATTTTGCGGAACAAAGGGTTGACCTTGCCAATTTTAATGAAAATAATGAGAGTGACTATTTTAATAATCTCTCTGGGTCTCGTATACGAGAATTCCAACGAGTTTATATTAAACGAGTTCATTTTAGAAGTTTACGACTGTCCTGGCGATGTATACATAATTACCACAAACAAACATTCAGATTCATATGAATGTCCGAGAATGAAAACGCAACTTCTATTCACAACACATATAAGTGGAACAAAAATAAAAAAATTTATTGAAATGAAACAACAAAATCGAATTTTTTCAAAGTGTAACAACAAAAAAGATTTTTTTAAAGTGTAACATCGGTATGTAGTAAGTGTAACAACATACCGATGTTACACTTTAAAAAAATCTTTTTTGTTGTTACACTTTGAAAAAATTCGATT